CCAAGCATGAAACAGAGAGCTGACTGATAATGAGCAATTTCTCCATAAATATAGCAAGCCTTGAAAATGCATTTTATAATATATATATATATATATATATATATATATATATATATATATATATATGTGTGTGTGTGTGTGTGTGTGTGTGTGTTTTTTTATTGTGTCAATTTTGGACGACACATCAAATAAATTATTGAAATCTGTTATTTAATTTTACACACACATATATATAAGTATGTATATATAATATAGGATAAAGAACAATTAGAAAACAGATCTTCATATAACATGATCCCCTTTATTAAATCTTCGTCATCTTCCTCACTAAAGTCTTCTCGTTCTACTTCTCTTCCTGTAAACCGTTGCGTTCGGAGTGTCATGGTCGCCTTGCTTGGGATGAAATCAATAAATTAATAAGGACAAAACTCTGTCTTCTTTTCGGACATTATCGGAGAGCTTGGATCAATGTTTTATGAAAAATGTAAGAAGTTGAAAAGAGCGTATGGGTCGTAACCATTCATATAGCTGAGTAATAAAAAAAAGAGCGAGGCTTCTGAAAAAGGTGTTGGAATACTAAGGAAATCTGCTATCGTTTAATTTGCAGAGTAAAACAAAATTTCTGAACGGTGTATACAGTCAATGAGTGTCTATATTTCTGACATGAGGTATTATGTACATTATTTACATTATTCTGTCTATTGTCCTCATCTTTGTCGCCATATTTGTTACGACGTTTCGGCCGTTGTACGCTCCGGCCTTCTTCAGGTGGTTGGAATGTCGAACTGAACCCTTTATTTCGCTCACTGGGGTAGACTGTTCTAGTTCCACGTGCCATGTTTAATGGATGTCAGTTATCAGTTATCTCCTGTTAATTTTCCCTCTGAAAGTTCTCCACTGCCTTAACCAGGTATTGAACTCACATTCTTTGGGTCTGTCACTGGATCTAACCAACGCCTTTATCCACTGTGCCATGTGTCCTAGAGGACGCATGGCACAATGAGTGCATAAAAAAATAAGTTTAAGAAGAAACAAGAAGGAGGAAAAAGAAGAAAAATAGAATAAAAAAAGAGAAAAAGAAAAAATAGATACAATTGAAAAAAGAATGGCAATAGAAAAAGAAAATAGAAAGAAAAAGAAGAAAAAAGAAGTAGAAACAGAAGATGAATTAGAAGGAGAGGGCAATGAGAAGTACAGGAAGAATAATAAAATAAGAAGAAGAAGAAGAAGAAGAAAAGTAATAATAAACAAAAATAATATGTCTAACTCAAGCATTCCCTGTATGAATTTATAAAGTCATAGTTAATAGCTAAAATCCGATAAAATAATTTAACTTAAGAATCTGTTTAAATCTTTACTGACTTTATTTTCACACTAACTCTACATCTTGTCATTGGCATACTTTTTTTTTACTGGTTTAATTCAATTAAAAAAAAATCTTTCAATGATGATAAGGATAATTCTGTTTTAAATGTCTTAAATAGATATTATCTCCGGGAATAAGAATTGAATATGCGTCTAAGTGCAGTAAACCTATTTCTTTTCTGCTTACTTTTTTTTCCTTTTTCTTTTTTTTAGAAAGTAGTGTTGCTGAATGCTGGAAGTTGTGCAATGCATACAAAATTAAATTCAATGAAAATACGTTAATTTTCACAAGTTAAAATATAAAGTAAATAGATCTTCGAAATAAAATTAAGGGATTTGAAAAAAAAAAATTTTCTTTTTTTTTTTAACTGATGTTTAAAAGAAAATGGTAAAGAAGAAAAAAATATAAGCATGTAACCAAAATGAATTCTTCCAAAGTAAAAGTATGTGTGGAAAGTAAAAGAAAAGGATAAAAATGTTTGTTGGCAAATGTTCTGAAAACAGGAAGAGAATAAAAATAGGAGGATCAGCAGGAAGTTAAAAAGACGAGAGGCAAAGACATAAAAATGCAAGGAAAACAGATTTTTAAGAAGAGTTGAAAGATTCATAAAAAGAATGTTTACTGCAAGCAAATAACGAAACACAAGTTTACGAAATTGTAAAAAAAAAAAAAAAAAATGGTTTCAAGAAAGAATGATACAATTAAATATTCTGATACCGATAGAATTAATGCACGATATTATCATTTTAAAAGCAGAAAGTTCCAAGAGATAAAGATTACAAATGCAAATACTTAAAATTCTGAAAGATTGTGAGAAAGACTAACAGAAAGAAACATCGTAAGTGGAATTGTTATGGATTCAAGTACAAGAAAGAAAATTTAGCAAGAGCGAAAAATGACGAGAAAAATATGCAGGGAAAAAGATTCAAAATAAGTTCAATTGTAATAAAATTAAATTTAAGAAAGAAAGGTCTCAGAAGCGAGAGATTCTGAGGAGAAAAATGCCAAAATAAATTGGATAGAACGTTTGTAAGAAAAAAACGTATAGATTCCAACAGTTTCTTCGATTGAAATATATTGTTTCAAAAAGTTCATGTCCTTTCAATAGATAAGCGATCCTAATCCTTCGAATATTTTTTAATTATGTGAATTGGCATATGTTATCTGGATATACCCAGTATAAAATACTATTTAATCGATAGCTGGGGGAGGAAATATCATTTGTTGTCATAGAAAATTATTGCTAAACTAAACAACAGAATAACTTGGAAATTGAACTGGGCTCGCCAATTTCATTTTCCATGTCTCCCCGATCCGTTACACTAATCGAATACACTGCTAGAAAGATTACGGATAGAATAATGCAAGATAAAAATATATTGAAATGCCTAAAATATTGCAGAAAACCGTAAGAGAAATTGCTGTAAATACAAATCCAAGAAATAATTCTTGCGGGATAGAAACTTTGCAACAAGAATAATTTTCAACAAAAAGACTGACATAAAGAAAGAAACCAGAGAGAAACATAGCGAAAGAAACTGCAATAGATTCAGATGCAAGAAATAATAGTCGAATGATCAGAAGATTATGAGAAGAAAAAAATAAGTCAAAATATTTAGAGAGATTAGGAAGACGAAAATTGCAAGATATGGATATAATTTCAAATGCAACAAATAAGAGTCGGTAGAAGGATATGACGAGATGAAATATCCGTGAGTATGAAGAGTGAAACAAAAAACATATTAAACAAAATGAAAACTGCAGTACATTAAAAAAAAATTGATTGCAACAAAATTAAACAGACATTTTCGTAAAATTATATCTGTATAAAAAATAAAAAGACATCAGTAAAAAATGTATAGGTAAGAATGGTTACAACAAAGACTGTTGTATATTAAAAGAAAGACGGAAATTACAGAAAAGAAACATTGCAGGAAATTCTGGAAGGAATATATATTGCATAAACGATTTCTAGACAAAAAAAATAACACGACATAAATATATAGCAAAATTACAGTTGGAAAAAGTATTTCAATAAAGAAACACTATAAGATTGAAAAAGGAAGATTGCAATGGCGATTCTAAAGCATAAAGGAGACCTTTATCTGACACAACAAACCGGCAAAAACAACCGTACAGAATATTATAAGAAGGATAATTTGTTAAAGAATAACAAGAAAAAGTAAAATACATTAGCAAAAAAGACGAACTAACGAAGAAAACGTAGAAAAAAACTGACCCGCTCTCAGTTCAAGGAAAAGAACAATTGCCGTAATATAATCTTCCTTTTGCAATATCCACCTAAGTGGCCTTTTTTTCTGTACTGAGATAGCTGAGTTGATAGCTGGAAAGTAACAATAAAAAAAACAAACATTCATTTTAAGCAACGGACTAAGCGCATATACCACCCGCAATAAACTCTTGACAAAATATGTTTCGTTCTTTTTTTCTTCATAATTTCTTATCTACTTCCCTTTTGCGATTCGTATTTCCTACCTAAATAATGATCTGATAACTGAATTAGAGTAAGGAAAAAGGTTCCTCCATTGTCCTAAATCTAAAATAGTCGGTGCGTTGTATGGATTTAAATAGAATGTTACTGTGTCTTAATTATTAAAAAAAAAAATGAACAAAACTAATTCATTTTATATTGAAACTTTGCGATAAAACTCCACTGATGTCTTTGATCAGCGTAACAATTTCCAATG